CCTGGAATGTTAACTTTCGTCGTCACTGATGGGGATCCTTTTCAATTTTGTGTACATAAAGTGTGTGTCAAAAGTGTGCGCTGAATATTCTGTGCGAGTTCTGAGATGAAGATGATTTATTTTCTCTTCTACTGAATTTGGAAAAGTTATTTTGTCGTACAGTGTAAAAGCTATTTTTCGTATCCTTGTAACGAAAGTTTCATCCTGAATTGTGGTTTAGAATTTACACTTTTTGGGAGGGTGGATGGATGAAGAATGTTGTTGGGTGAGAAATTTGTGCTACATTTTCTCATTCCTTCACTCAATTCTATAGGGTCACCTTGAGATTTTTAACGCAGACTAAAAGAGAGAGAGAGAGAGTGAGAGAAAGAGAGTGAGAGAGAGAGTGGAAAATAAAATTGATTTCTTCAGAGATGGATTTTCCTCAAGTGTTAGCAGTTGAAGAATGTGTCCATCCGTGAATTTCTGTGTAGGGAGACCATAAAGAGGCAATATACAAGTGAAGTAAAATATCCATAAATTGTTTATATGGCGAAAAAGCTGTAAAATCTCTCTTCACTCCCACTTTCTTCCCACTTCTTGTATTTTTCTATAAATGTCACATCGCTTCTCGGTTTGGAATTGTTCTGTGATACAATTTTTTCGGGGGCGGCTCAGCTTGTATGTTATTATTTAGCGTTATATCGTCTGTCACAAGTACTTATAGTAATAATAATGAAGCTCGGGGGGTCAATAGCAGCAATGATAATTCCCTTTTATTACATAGTCTGTGCGGTCTTTTTTTAGTCACTCCGTCGCACAGTCACTGAATATGGGGAGTCATCGTGTAGACTCGAATTGACGAGAGAGAGAGAGAGAGAGTGTCGTTGAACGCACACTGGAGAGTATGTGAATTGTGGAGGAATGGTTATTGCACTGCCATTAAAATATGACTCACATTCTTTTTCCCGAAATCATACTGTAAATTTGTCAGATTTTTTATTCATTAAGCGAGTTGACGAGCTGCAAAAATATATCGCGAAATTCATTGTTATACATATCTTTTTCATGTGACTTTTACCACTACATAAATTGTCGTAATTGAAATCCGGAATGTAATTTTTCAATGGAGAAAATGGTAATGAAGATGTCTACAAAAAAATACTCACAGGAGAATCAATAAATCACAGCAATTTCTCACAGAGAAATTTGCATGGTGAAATTTCACTATTCACTAATTTTTGTTCAATTATGCCGCGCGATCTTTGACGCAATTGATCGACAATTTATGTGTTCAATGAATGTGAAGGAGAAAAAGTTCAGAATTTAAAGGCATGGGTTTTTTGCTCTGCAGGGCATCAATGAATTCAAAAACTTTCCCAAAACACCGCACAATTTTCAACCATCAAACCATGTCGTTTCTCGTCTAGCACATTCATTTCGCCAACACTTATTACGTATTCACTTGGAATTGAAGCATTAAATTCCGTAATTGGTATTCTATATATGTGGCATTTTATGGGATTTTCCTCTGGCGCGAGGAAATACGGACGCACAGGAGAGAGAAGAGCGAGTGATGGACTGAAAGAGAGAAAACCACAATGGAGGAGAGAAAGGAAGAAAAAGAGTGGGTCGTAAAAGAGGAGTGAGTCAATAGAATTCCCAATTATTTGCCATGGAATTTTATTCAATGCTTATCTATTGTTATTAATTGAAAAGCTAATATAAAATATGAAAAGTGGTTAATTGGTTTTTCAAAGTGACTTTTCCAGTTTTCTATTTTCACCTTTTCAAGTCCTCCTTTTTGCGAGCAAAAATCAAGATTTCCACCAAAAAGCTCTCGACTCTTTTGCTTTCAGCTCACAAACACACATCAATTGACCCATTCAAGCATTGTGATTTGACTTTTTCCTCAATCTCCCTCACGTCCAAGTAGGTTTTTCCTCGTGGAAGTTCTACCGGAAAAACGACCTAAAATGGGACGATTCGAAATGCCACTTGAGAATTCCCCAATTGAAAATCACTCGTCATATTCACTGCCCCCAGCGCAATGCCTCTGTTGCACGCAAATTAATGATTTCAATTAGCGTTTGGGAGAGGAAAAGAGAAATTTGTGACAATATACAGAGTGGGTGGTTTTGCGTCATATGGTTGACCATTCAGTGTAATTCTCTTTCAAGTACTCTGGCCATTAAATGACTCCACATTGAGATTTCAGCGTGTTTGAACAGAGTGAATGATTCTATGTGAGTTTTACATGGTTCGCTTGGCAGTGTGGAATGAAAAATTCGGAGCAAAATTGGCAAAAGTAATGAATGAATGACAATTTCCTCCATGAAAGGCATGATAAGCTTGGGCAGTTGTTTGTTGTGTGATTTCCACCACAACATCTAACGCAGTTGAATTGGAAAGAGATGAGGTGAACGACATAATCATGAGGCTTGCAATGCAATTTCTGATCTGTTTAATCATTTCTGATTCGAGTGATTAAACATCAGAATAATTACATAGAATTAATTTGAATTTCTGATTAAAATTGCATTTATAATTGATTTTTTTTGCATAGTTACTTTGCTCTTTCTCCTCAATACATATTGCATTATTTCTATGAAATTGAGAAACAGTGTGCTAAATACTCGAGGCCTATTTTGTAAAATTATACAAATTGGGCGGAATGGATTTTATGTGAAAAGTTGGGAAATGTATATTCTCAGTGTTGTGGCAGTGAGAGAGAAGAAAAAATCCCCGAAATTGTTCCATTAACTGCCTTGCAGTTGATTTAACAGTGTTCTACTGAAAATTACATGGTCCATTAGTTACTCCTAACTAATGAGATTTATGCCTTTTTACCCAAAATATTCCTCTCAGCGCGTGTATTTAGTTGTGGAATATAATGGAGAATTATGGTTGTTGAAATGTGTGGGCAAGTACTCAACTCATGATGCACTAATTTATTGTAAATTGCAACGGATGTGAGCATATGAGTGCAAAAATCAACCAAACCTTTCCTGTGCTGCCGTAATGAGGGTGTGTTGAACCTTTTGCTCTATTTTTTAATTAATTTCATTCATCATGATTACCTGAAAGGTTCATTAAAATGTGAATTTTATGTTTGTCAGCCTCATATTAAGAATTAGCACGATAGAGTGAAAATGTCCTCAAAAATTCTACCATTAGATGATGTCATCGGCCAAGAAATCCTCATCGTAGGCCACAAAGTGAGATATTGCGTGCATTTTCACAGTGAATTGGGTGAATAATGGGCATAAGAGTGATGTGAAAACACACGTTTTATGTACATGAAGTAATAAATATTTTTACTTCTCATCCATTAATAATAATTACACACTTGTGAATGCACGTTAGATGCTCTCCTTCTCTCTCTATCTCTCTCTCTCTCCCGCTCTCGTGAACGCACATAAAGAGGCAACCTTGACTTACATAGCTAACCAAAATAATCGTGTTAATTCTTCCTCACCTCTTCTGTTTTATAGTGATTACCAGCGATTACTCTGGCGTAATATTTCCTTCTTTTTCGCGTATTCAAACAGCCCCATAATACACACACTCGCTCACACAGTGAGGAAAGTACCTACTTTATACCATCTTTTGTAGGGCACTCAAATTCACATTTGGGGTAATTTTCAGAAGTTGTTTGCACGCGGGAGGAAAAATGATAAATGTAATGCGGTAGAGTATTAAGTGAATCAGTTTAAATAAATATTGATTGTAAAAATATTGCACACTTTTCGAATGATATAATGTTGTGGTCTGAGATAAGAGGCTCGATTGTTTAATTGGGAAAGCGATGCATATTCATGCGTGTGCTTTATTGATAAAGCGTGGCATTGAAAAAGAATTTGCATTTACGTAAAAGCGGAAACGAGAGTGAAAACGTAAATATACATTTTTTTTTTAATTCCATCATTGTGGGAATATTCGTGGGAATTGGGCAATTTGAAGAATGTGATAAAGCTGCAATTGAGTCAGCATCTGTCTGTGTGTTCTGAGGAAATGGCGTGGATGAAATTGAATTGCAATCTTACGACAAACTCCTGAGAATCTTTACATTGTAATTTGCCGCTCTATTGATTCATACTCAGCGCTTTATTGCCAGCGAAAGAGAGAGAGAGATTATACTGACGGGGAATTGAATTAAAATGTCATTAATATATGCATAAAATCCCCGGGAAAATTTTCAATTTCCTTCTCTTCCCGAAATTCTTGCATAATAGAAAAGTAAGGGAGGGGATTTTAAATAGATTCATAATTACATTTAATAGTAACCAATTGAATTCTGGGCTTCTTGTGTGGTGAATTGCATTATTTATAAACACAGGGCAAGACAAGGGTGGTCTTTATACGGCTAGAAAATTATATGGGGGACAATGGGGAAAATGCCTGGTAAGGGTGGTTGAGTAATTTGTGGTTGGGAACATTTCACCTGGATATGAAGCAACTTCAAATATAATCCCGTTTTACAGTGGGTGCATAGCATCTGATAGCATGAGTAAATTTGTCCAACAGTTTGTCACTTTGCATCGCATGCAGTGTCAATATGATTCAGTTGCTATGCTCAACTGAATCTACTGAAGATACGTAATTCATCCCATATGGAGAGAATGTGGTTGAATTGAGTTTTACGGTAGAATTAGAGACGACGACGTGTGATTAAAGTAGAACAATTAATCATACAATTATTTTGGGGATTAACCCATTGCAATGGCGTGAAGACAGATAATAAATTACTTGTCTTACTCAATTCAATTGTTCCAGTTATATTGACGATTGAGGGAATTTCATTGACTCTAGTTTCCATATTTGCTCTGTCACCAAATAGATGAAAATCCATGGAAATGAGAGGATTTCTTAGTTTAAATATAGATTCAACGCTATTAATATCTTCTGTGGATTTAGTCTAATCTCAAATTCTATGTTAACAAGTCTTTTTGTTCCCACTCACAAAAACAATTCTAATAATATTCAGAGATAATAATATGCTTTTTTGTCTGTATTTTCAGGCTCCGGAAGAGAAATTGGAGGTAAGTTATTTTGCAAAATGATCCTTTGAAGCAAGCACGAATTCTCTGTCTTTTTCATCCAAGACTCTTGGACTTATTAGCATAAATTGTATCCCATTTTACATACATACATTCAGTTATGGGTGGGGAAAAACATTGAACATCTGCCTTGAGAGGAAATGCTAAATATTCCTCTTCATCTCTTTTGAGGTTCACTTTCAAGAGAGGCGATTCAATTGAGAAGATGTGAATATTTATTGTTTCATTGTACAGAAAAGTTCTTATCGTGAATTTTCCATCAAGAGTCCATGTTAAAAGTATATTTGAAATATTCACCCTTTAATTTGGTGAATTATTCTAATTCTGCCGGAGTGTCTAATTTTTTTCTTATTGTTATTTCCATGAATTTGTGATAAGCGTGAAACTTTCTATCGCTTTCTATGGAAATTGTATATCGATGGTTAAAGTATCCCTTATTCTGTGGGGTTCCACAAATCTCTCTTTTCAACTGAGAAGTTTTTACGATCGACAAACATTTTCATTTATATATAAAGCCAATGTCGCCAATGTGTATTTCGCAAACCACGAATTTATCAATATGTACAGGGGTTGTGAAGAGTATGTTTTTGAGTGCGGGAGTGGAAGTTTTCCAATTCAACCCCTCAGTCAGTATTTTCTTTTCGCATCCTCATCGATGAGTCAATCGGAAACTTCCCTCGAGTCTCGGAATGGGACAAAAATAGACTGAGGGTTGTTTATTGAATGGTAGAGAGACGGCAATTGATTATTATTTATAGTATTACGTGGTCATCATCATTATTTAGAGGGGTAGATATAAACAATCAAAAGTGTATTGTCGAACCCTACTGAATAATTCTCTGTATTATTTCCTTCAGTGATATTTTTAGAGGACCAGGAAGGAAAAATAAAACATCCTTTTACTGTCGAATGTTGATCTGTGTAGGGGTAAAAAGGGGGTTGAAATAATATTATGATAGAATAAAATTAGTGAGTTTATAAAAAATGTGATTTCCTGTGAAATATTATGTCTTATGCAGAGAAAAGAATGCTCGTGGAGAGATTTAATTTTCTGAGAAGTGTTTGATATTCTTATTTCTGATCTTCCTTCACTGTCAAGCGGGGAAAAAAATGTCACGGCTTTTGGCAAAAGTTGTGCGACAGAGAAGAAGGAAGAACAAAGCGTTTTGCGTAAATAGCAGAAGAAGAAAAGACTGAGAGACTTGCAAGGGAAATTATTAAGTGGAAAATGGAAAAATAAAAGCAACAAATGCTGGAGAGAAAGAAAGCTGAAGAAACTGAAATTGCTTTCATTTCAGATTCTTTCTAATCTGTTGAGCAACAAATAAAAGTTGGATAAACTCATGTAGTTGGAACTGTGTTGTTAATTTGTGCATCTTGTGTCAGAGACATTGAGTAAAAGTGACAGAAGATTCGCAAAGAGGATCAGTTTTAATTATGTACACTCTATCTATGTATTTCAATGGCGCAAAAAGTAGCCTTTAATCATGTCTAGCTTTTCCACTGTCATAATGATGATAATATATTTATTATAGTGGTGATAATTTCAATAATAGTTTATATACATTGTAATTATAACTTGTGCGGTCAAATAACGCAGACTGTGTCATATTGAAAGTGGTTTTGCATAATATATTTTAGTCATAGAATATTGTTATTTGCGAATTGGTACAATTTATAATTCCGAAATATGATCAGATTGAAATTTATAAGCTCTCATTGAAAAATAAATATTTGCTCCATTTATTAATATCCCGTGCAAATGAAAATTGGACTTTTGGTGTGATTTTCAATTGCAATCATCATAGAATTCCGCCAATTGGGTATATTTGCAAAGTGAAATTGAAGAGAGTAAGAGAGAGAGAGAGAAGCTGTGCGGAGAGAGTAATGCTACAAGATAAATATTAGGAGTAAAGTCAATTGATTCAATTGGCGAATGGCGAAGGAGGAAGAATTTATCATGAGATGAATAAACTTTAACCCCGAGCTATACATTTCTTTTGCACACTCACGTTGAGAGGTCAACAAATTTTCACTGCAAGTTCATTGACTATGAGAGGCACTCTTTCTTTTCTCATGTCCAAGAGGGTGGATTTACACACTTGGGAAATCCTCAATTGAACTAACACTCTTGAGTGTTTTCTGCGGGGTTTTCTGTCTAATAATCAATAAATCTTTTCCATGGAACACACTCTCATGGTGTGTTTCCTGTAAATATTTTGTCCGGAACTTTTACAGCTTCTCCCAGTTTTATTTTCACTTCTCCCTTGTTTTATTTGTTTCCATTAAATGGTCATGCTTTTTGGGTAAGAAACGTGCGAATGCTAAAAAGATGCTAAATTCGCTGAATTGATGTTGATGGTGTTTCGGAAGGTTTCCAACGTGAGGATGGGGAAAACAATGGTCAATTGATCTGCACGAGGGTAATGAATTGTGGAGAGCAAGAGGAAAAGACTTTTTGAAGGACGAATTTCATTACTTTGAGCTTATTGTGTTCATGACTCAAGGTTATTCTCTCCATACCTTTTCAGCTTCTTTCCCTATTTGCTGGGGAAATTCAAAGGGGGAGAGAGCCACAGGAAGGACTTTTCACATGCTACCCTCTCAATTATATATTTTGGCACCCTGTCGAAAAGCCCCAAGGCTCGGTCTTTGAAATTCCTCACAGAATTTCTTTGTTGTGCTCCAGAGCTCTTCAGGGAGAATGGCATCTCCATAAATTCTCTGCCATCAAATTCTCAATCTTAATTGAAATGCCCTGAAAGCTGGTATATGGCTTAGGAATTTTCTTTTTTTCCAATTTTGAAGGCGCGTCAAATTGCCACAATTTCTTTAGTTAGAAAAATGATGACAATGGGCGAATTTTTTTCGCACACCTTTGCAGAATTAATTATCCGAGCCAATCTTAATGTATTTGATCTCTGGATGATACTTACTTTCGTGGAGAGTTTATTGATTTTACGCTGAAGAGAAGTAATGAGTGTGTGAGTGAGTGTCTCTTTTTTTCTCTTGACAATAATTAAGCACAAGAAGCTGGCCACTGGACACCTGCTTGATGTGAATGAACTGCGTCCACTAGAGCAACTTTGCTGAGCGAGAGCAGCTGCATTTTCTTGCTTATATGGTTGATTGAGTAACAATTTGTGTGGAGTGTATTGTTTTACACAGACAGAACAAAACCCTGTCAATTAACCGGTGAGAGTTAAATGTTCTGCACAGAATCGTGACAATGACCGTTGGTGAAGGGAGAGCTTTCAACCAACCCTTGTGCAAAAAATGTCCAATAGCTTCATCAAGTCCGTGTTGGAAAATGTGAATGGTTCGATGGATTCTTTGTCCTCATCATCATTATTTCTCGCCCGATGATGAGCGAAAGAGTGTCTGTGCATTGTCGTGGAGTTTGAATTACATGCTCCATTAATTATATTAAAATCCGCCGGTCTGGCAAAGGGAGGAGAGAAAGAGAGAGAGGGAGAGAGTAACTTTCAGAGAGTGGCACATACCTTTCCGCAATTATCCCTTTTGGCCTTATTGGGGTCACTGAGAAGGTGTGTGCGAATTTACTTGTGCTTCTGCCTGAGATCAACTCCCATCATTTGAACTTCTCAGTCTCACACCCTCTTTCGCCGAATGGGGGAGAAACACTTTGTTGTACTCCCTGTACTTCATGTTGCCATTGTGGATCATTTGGGGGTGTTGGTGTGAGAAGTGAATGTTATTTTCCCTCGTCCTCAATCGAAGGGTGGATTGTGTTGTATCTCATAAAAGGGGTGGTTGGATTTTCAACATGAATTCGATTAGATTTGAAGTGTGCAAGAGAGAGTGAGAGTCGCAGCGTTGTACGGCAACTTCAAATACACCCTCTTAAATTTGTTCAATTGACTAGTCACACCAGCGCACGCGAAAGAAGCGGGGACTGGAAAATTGACACCCATGGAATGATCTGAGAATTGTCGCACTTTTTTTTCCCACCGCACTCAAAGGCATTTCTCTCACCTTCCGACTTTCACATTCAATATTGTGCAAATCAACTCCCGCAGAGTTGGTTGGGAAATTCGGCGAGATGCCCTCAAAGCATGATTCTATATTTGCATGGGGTGAACTTCCTTTTTTGTCTCTTTGCTTTTTCGCTGGCGCTAGACTCTGTGCATCCTCTCTCGCTTTGTGTACTCACGATGTTGACTCTGTGGTGAATTTCTATCTGTCTGATGGAAAAATAACAAATTTTCAACAGAAACACTTAGAGAAAATTAAAGAAATGTTTTGAAAATTGTCTGAATCTATCTAATTTAATTTTCTAAAGCTAATTGTTCGACCTTTTCTTGAATCGAAACTCTCTTCAATTAAAATTAATAGATTTCCCAACATAACGTCAATCTCTCTTTAGAAATGAGAATCAAAGGTCTAAATCGTTTTATAATCCAAAAAGATGCTAATTTTAAGGAAGAAAAAGACTCGAACTCGTTCAATGATAGGTCTTCGCTTTCTACTCAGAGGAATTCTATTTGAAACAGTTGTTGGTTGCATAATTTTTTTTTGCAGTGACTGTAAGTAAACATATATGATGAAGAAGGCAACATGGAGACGTGATATTCCTTTATTTTGGGTACAATATTCATGTTAAACATGTTGATATTTTTCATACGCCACCGAAAAGGCGGCCTTTTTGAGACACGCTCTTGCTCCAATAAGATTTTCTCCCACGAAGCCCGTCCGCCGATATTGCGGCAGAAAAATGTTTCTTTCCACCCCCACCCACAGTGGATGGGATGGAAGATAAAATTTTCACGACAGCACGAAGGGGGAGGAGAAGGATGTGTAGTGAATGAAGCGCAAGAGGCGAAAGCTAAAGTGGATTTGTGTGGATGTGAAAGACACAAAATCCAGTGATGGTATGGAGAGACAATGGAGACAAGAGGTTGATGATGTCCTTTGTTTGGAGGCACACACAGACGAAATTTCCCTTGTATAAAGGAGGCAATGTTGGCGCGCGGGGCTCTTGAGAAATTTTTAAAACATTTTTAATAGTCCTCGAGAATATCATCAGCCATTTGCCTCATTATGCAGGAAGAGCGTGAATGGCTGTGTGTGTGTGATGTGGATAAGCATAGAGAGTATGCAGAATTTTTGTGCCATTTTAACATGTGCTTGGATTTTTGATGATACTCTGGAAGAGCTTGGAAAGAAATTTGTAGCAATTGCGAGAGTGGTAAAATGCTGAGATAGGGAATAATTGTAACAATTAGGAGCACAATGAGGGTCCAAATGGCAGAAAGTGACAACAATTAAGTGCATCTGGACCGAGAGCCATTGTGCTGGAGATGAGTTTATGTAATTCTCATCACCATTTACCCTCAGCCATCCAGTGTCTCGATGGTGTGGCAAAGTGAAAAGAGCAAAGAGTTGTCTGCTTTGTGTCAAGATGTAAAAGTTTTGTAGGTAGTAAAATTCGCAGTATATATATTGGAAAATGTTGCGAGCAAAAGGAAATTCATCTTCCTTTTATATTAAACTGCCATACATTTCATACATATATAAAATTATGTCAGCCAGTCACTATAACTCACTGGCCGCAAAAGAGAGTGAGCGAGAAAGAGAGGAAAAAATCAGCCACCACGTAAATTATGGGAAAATAAATCACAGAGAACGAGACAGTAATAATAAAATTACTAGACGGTTGTGATTATACTATGCAAATCGCTTGGAATAAATAAAGTGAGATTATCAGACGACATTCGGCGAAGGACGTGCGGAGGAAGATATGAGGACGAAGCGAGAGCTCGAGGGATTGCTGACAGGCCAGAAAAAAAGGACGAATGGCTGAAAATAATTGTCGCACTGCATCCTCTCTTTGTTTTCTTTGCGCGCGCGATTCAATATCAAAATGGAAAAGGAGGGTGATCAATAAATCTTCCCAATACATTTTTTGTGTTATTCTCTTTGTGTGTGTGTGAATATTTGTTCCGCCCACACGTGAATATCCTCTGCGGGCGAATAGGGTGGGTTTGAGGCAAAAAGGAGTGCAAAATGGTGTGAGGAGGAAAATAAAAAGGATAAAAATCTCCAGCATAATAGCAATTTCTTTAAGTCGCTTCGTCTACTTTTCCAAATTCGATATACATTTCAATAGATGTGTTGTGTAGTTGTCGACACGACAGAGTGTGAGAGAGAGAGAGAGAGTGAAAAAGGGAAAATGTGGAAATTGTTATATATTGGAAATAGAAGAGAATCCTGTGCCATTTTCCAATTTTCAAATATGCTTATTTTTGACTTCTGAAAGCATTTCACTGTAGAATCGTCGGGAATGTGTGTGTGTGTCGATGCGAAAGAATGTCTTATGCCATTTGGCGTGTTCTTATAACTTGAGAAGATACTGGAAAAAGGTGGAGAAAAAGAGGGAAAATATTGATAAGGAATATCAATAAAATTGAATGTCAATGCCATGTTTCTGTTTAGTCATTCCACTATAGCTCTAGTCTGTCTGAAATTCTCCGAATTGAAGTGTCTCTTGATGTGTGAGGATTCACAGAGCGAACTTAACTCTCTAATCACGCATGAATTTTATAGATTTTTCTTTTTTCTCTGTCTCTTTGCAGGAAGACGCCTTAATGAATACATATCGCACTATGAGACACTGAGTTATGATACAAAGCATGTCCATGCGAGTCACAATCGTGCAAAACGATCTGTCACCAAAGATCCCTACGTGTATCTGAGATTTGACGCCCACGGGGAGAATTTTCACATGAGACTCAAGAGAGATGTGGCCACTTTTAGTGATAATTTAGTGGTGAGAGATTCTTCTCTTTATTCATTCAGCGCGCTCTCCTTTTCATTGTGATTTATGATGAAGGCACTCTGAGTCAGCCGACAATCAGTGGTGAGAGAGAATCCTTAATCATTCGGTCTTTTCTGCGTTAATTTTCCAGATTGACGGTTCAGATGGTCCAGTTGCAGTAGATACATCGCACATTTATCAGGGTGAATTGCTAAATGTACCAAAAAGTCATGTGTTCGGCTCGATAATTGATGGTGTTTTCGAGGGCCGAATATTAACTGGACGTGAATCGTATTTTGTGGAAAATGCAAAACACTATTTTCCCAATCGCACTCAGAGAGAGGAGTCTGGGATTCATTCTGTGATTTACAAAGAGAGCCATGTGTCAGATCCATATGCTGATGTAAGACAAGGTAAGAGGGAATGAACGTGTGCGCAAAGCCTTTTCAACGCATCAGATATAATTCAATTACTCACGCGACTCGGTCGGGACTTTTCTTCTGTGGGAAAATCCCTCTTAAATGCTTCAACATTGAAAAATTTATTCATGGACGGATTTTACCCGAAAAAATTGATTTATGAAACGTGAAGTGGAATTGGGAAGTCCGGAGAGAATGAGAGATTGGTTGTGTTCAGCATTTTTATATATCATCTTTATCCACTTTTCCGCCAGCCAGACGATGTAATTTTCCCACACACGCACGCGAAAATGATGATTTGACTCTTGATGCCTTCTTTGAGATAGAAAAAAAAATTTCCAGCCCATGACTTTTCGCAGGAGTGCAAGAAAGAGAAATTTCAATTAAGCCAGAGTTGCTAGAATGATTTTGAAATGAGATAATATGATTATAATTAAGCAATTTTCATTGGCATTTCTTCATCCCTAATCTAGAGCTGCTTTCAATTCTGTCTTGTGGCTTTTTCCCTTTTGTGATTTATGATAGACTCCAAATATTGTAAACAGCAGCAACTGGAAATTATTCAGATTGTGAGGATGATTTCGAAATGAAAAGTGCCCGGAGAGAGAGAGAGAAGAGACTTTTTGCCCATTAATTATCTCTTTCTTCGCTGTTTGAAAATGAGACGCTGCGAGATGATTAATTGTCTTGTGGTTGACCCAGGTCATGGAGGTGGCTGTGGAATAACTGATGAGATATCGAGTTGGATGGATAGTATTCAGAATGCTGCAGTGGACGATGACACTCCGCCGGCGGCGCCTGCTGCCAAGTCCAGCCGCGAGAAGGTGAGGATGTCTTCATCTGAGGAGGACACGCAGTGGCCACCGCATCAGAAGTACTCGAAGGAAGCCAATTGGCGGGCTGCGGATGTGGAAGATGACGGCGATCAGCACGAGGAGGCGCACGACCGCGTGCGAAGGGCGACGAGACCGCGAGAGGAGAATCGCAACACTTGCTCATTGTACATTCAGACAGATCCTCTTATCTGGCGTCACATTCGCGAGGGAATTGCTGATGTGAGTATCTGTACCTTATGTGTTAACACCCGGAGAGATGAGAGATTTGACGATTTATTCCGCTCAACAGCGCGCCTTGAATCCCAAGATCAAGCACGATCGCGGGAAGAAGCATGAGATTGATGAGAAGACAAGGGAGGAGATTCTCTCCTTGATTGCACACCATGTCACTGCCGTGAACTATATTTATCGCAATACAAAATTCGATGGACGCGTGGAGCACCGGAATATTCGTTTTGAGGTAAGGAACAAAAGCGCAAGAAAGCATTCTGTGAGTGGAAATTTGTCAATCTCGTGTGTGTTCCTCAACAGGTGCAGAGGATCAAGATCGATGATGACTCGGCGTGCAGTGAGGCGTACAATGGTGAATCCAATCCATTCTGCATGGAGAACATCGATGTGTCCAACTTCCTCAACATTCACTCCCTTGGCAATCATGAGGACTTCTGTTTGGCATACGTTTTCACATACAGGCAATAAATTCCGCACACCCACTTTTGCCGCTCTTGCATTACTCACTGTCAACTTTCTTTTGCCCATAGGGACTTCACCGGCGGCACGCTCGGCTTAGCGTGGGTGGCGTCAGCTTCCGGGGCGTCTGGTGGCATCTGTGAGAAGTACAAGACGTACACGGAGACAGTTGGTGGGCTGTACCAGAGCACCAAGCGATCTCTCAACACTGGCATCATCACATTTGTCAACTACAACAGTCGAGTGCCACCGAAAGTGTCTCAATTGACGCTGGCGCACGAGATTGGCCACAACTTCGGATCACCAGTGAGTATCTCGCTCGGAAATTGAGAGAGAGAGAGAAGAGATTGAAACTGATGCATTTTCTTCCTATTCACCAGCACGATTACCCCCAAGAGTGCCGTCCGGGGGGTCTGCACGGCAACTACATCATGTTCGCGAGTGCCACGAGTGGCGATCGGCCGAACAATAGCAAGTTCTCCACGTGCTCCATCCGGAATATCTCCAATGTTCTGGACGCCATTGAAGACACGAAGAAGCGCAACTGCTTCCTGGCCAGCGAGGGCGCTTTCTGTGGTAACAAGATTGTGGAGAGTGGCGAGGAGTGCGATTGTGGCTTCAACGATGAGGAGTGCCAGGACAGATGCTGCTATCCGCGTCAGATTGGCGAACGTGATCTGAGCATCAATGCCACGGCGCGCGGGTGCACGAGACGCGCCCGAACGCAGTGCAGTCCGAGTCAGGGGCCGTGCTGTCAGAGTGAGTCGTGCAGCTTCGTGCCGGCGCACTTTGGAGTGAAGTGCAAGGAGGAGACGGAGTGCTCGTGGAGCTCCACGTGCAACGGCACAACGCCCGAGTGTCCGGAGCCGAAGCCGCGGGACGACAAGACGAAGTGCAACAATGGGACGCAGCTGTGCATCGCCGGCGAGTGCTCGGGCTCTATTTGTCTGCTGTGGAACATGACTGAGTGCTTCCTCACGTCCTCCATCATTCCCAACATCGATAAGAGGAAGCTGTGCGAGCTGGCGTGCCAGAATGGCAATGACACCAGCACCTGTCGCAGCACCAGCGAGTTCGCTCACCTCTTTGGCCTGCCCACGGGTGGAATCAACCTGCGTCCGGGCTCCCCATGTGATAACTTTCAGGTGGGTGAATTGCGTGCAACTCAGCTGGGTTGCAGAGGGAATCTCATAGGATTCATCAATATCAATTCCCCGGATTAAATCTTCCATTGGCAGAATGCAAAAAAGCGCAGTTATTTCCTCTCTAGAATTACATATTTCTCACATCCTCGTTCTAACTAAAATGCGAATCTATTGTCTGCCTGGCAAAGGTTCCACAATTGATGACAGAATTAATTTATCAACTGTACACATATATGTAGAAAAATTGCAAGTGGAAATGACATTTTTTTTGTATATCCTATCGATATTTTTCTGTTGGTCAGTATAAAAGTGCAATTGACGTTGTTGGTATTCAGTAAAATTTCTTTTGTGAGTTATTGTTTTTTAAACAATAATTGAATAATGACGGAAGCATAAAAGATTATTTAAAATTGTCATTTTGAGTAGAGAGGAAATATTGTTTGTCAGACTTTTATCAGAGAAGGAATCCAATTTAAGAGCAAAATATAGTTTGTGTTGTTTTTGTCAGGGCGCATATAAAGCAGTTTAAAAGTTTTGTGTTACTTGAATTGAGTGAGGCGGGAAGAATTTCTTCTGCACAAAAAAAACGTTGAGAAGAGTGAGGAAAAAAATGTTGACGAAAAAAATCTCTTGCAAAGTTTTTCATTCAACTTTTTTCAGTGCTTTGCTTTCTGTGTTGCTAAAATACTTTGCGAAACTTCTAAATAGTCTCGAGTGTGTATTTTTTTATTCCTCGTGGAAAGTATAAAATCATTCTTCAAATTGCACAACAATAATTTCACCCCCTGAAGAGAATGAGAGAGAGAGAGAGTGGGAAGAAGAGGGCTTTTAGAAGACTTTTTACTCAACATCCAAATTGCTCAACTTCCTGCCGCCATTGAGTTATAAATTAATTAGCTACGGTTTCTGCGGCAAAAAAGATCGCATTGTATATGTGTGTGTTATATGGCGGTGTTTTGAGAAGTTGAGCATGAACTTTTGTGACAAAAGAGGCCACAAGACTATCATCTGTTGTGAACTGGCTGATTAATTGTTGGGCTTTCTTTCGCACAGGGATACTGCGATGTGTTCCTGCGGTGTCGCGCCGTGGACGCGGAAGGTCCGCTGGTGAGGCTGAAAAATCTGCTCTTCAACAAGGAGACACTCTTCACGGTGGCGCAGTGGATCACGGACAATTGGTACGCCGTCATCCTCATTGGCATTGGCTTCATCATCTTCATGGGGATGTTCATCAAGTGCTGTGCCGTTCACACGCCCAGCTCTAATCCCAAAAAGCCACCCGCGAGAAGGATCAGCGACACTCTGCGAGGCCCAATGAATACCTTGAGGAGAATGGTAAGTGAATCACACAATCAGCACTTTGGCACACATCTTCACTCACAATGTCACTCTGAAGACGCTCGAAATTCGTCAAATTGTATTATTTGGATCACAGACATGATTTTTCATAAGTGAATTCAGTGATATCGTTCGAGCCGCATTCCAAAGTGAGGCTTTTGTTGGTTAAAATGCATTCTGAGCCTCACTTGTAGTCTGTAAAGCACTTGACAAACAGACGCTAAGCCGATACGAGAGGCAACTAAAGTCGTTTATAGCCATACAAATGAGGCTTAGCTCACGTTTTCACACAAAAAACAACATTTAAGGCAATTAAAACCCTAAAATTACGTGAAAATTACTTTGGAATATTGCTACTGTGAGATTAGACGACTTAAATTGCGTCTTCGTGATAAATTCACTAATATTTTGCACTACTAACGCTACATAATGATCCCAATGTGGGTTTTTGTGAGTGAAAGTGCACGTCGAACTTGATTAGAAGGCTGTAATTTGAGTCGTGACACTAAAGCTCTGCTTCCTTTCAGCGTCACCATCACGGCGGCGGCGCCAGAAGCATACCACCGCAGCATCGCGAGCGCTCACGCGGTCGCTCCACTGGGATGAACAGGAGCGGCGTGCAGCCGGCGCCTCGGCGCCCGCCCTCGGGCAGCCGCGGCCCCAGCGGCTCCCGGGCTCCGGCTCATGGGTATGGTGAGGGGAGGGGGCAGCAGTACTATCCGCCGAAAGGTGTGTTCTACAAGCCCGTGCGCTCGTGAGGGTCTGCTCAGACTCACCCTCCTGACTTTGATGGTTCCTTTTCCACTTATTGCACTTTCATTTGCGCTCTCAATGCCTCTTTGTCCATTGTCTTGCCAATGAATTGTTTTTGTGTTTCCTTTTCACTGCTAATTAGCTTATTATATATTTTTGCACTGTGTCATGCTTTATTGTCCTTTTGTAGAAAAGAGAGAAAAGTGACCTGTGTTGCTGTCGCATGATTTCCATGTCATCTTTTGCGTGTGTCTCTCACGAGATTGTCCCTTAGATTACCATTAATAGCTCTCTCGAGGCAGAGTATTGTACATAAGTTGACTATCATAGACGAGGACTTAGAGCTCTCAATTAATATGAAATGCAATTTACAAGAGTTTTTTTTTCTTTTCTTTACGCTTGAACTTTAGTCATTTTTATCCGTTTGCGAATTGCTTCTCCAGCGAGAGAAGCATTCAGATACACATTTTCTTATCTTTCTTTTGTGCGCTGAGGAGAAAGAGAAAAAAAAAGATGCGGAGAAGGAAAGTGCCTCAGGCTTAGAGAACATATTTTTTGCGTCTCAATATATAATATGATTTCGTAGTGGACTTTTTCACATTACTTTTGATGTTTAGAAGACAGAAAGTAAAAAAAAAACTAGCATAAAACATATTTTGAAAGTTTGTCTCTGGTTAATTACGATTTGTGTTTAGAGGAATTTCATTTAGAGGAACAGAGACATTTTGTGTTGAATTGCGACAGAGAGTCTAAAATGTGTTTTGTATTAATTACAATTTGCAGCCACCGCTCCACCAGCACCGAATTATAGTCGCGCCAATCATCCGGAAGTATATTCGGAGGCATTTCCGCCTGATCCGCGGCATGCATATGAAATGCCAATTCGTCACCCAAACAGTAAAGTCTGACAGACGACAAAGACACCATCAGCTTTATTTCACCAGGAGATTATATGTATGCGCTATGCTCGTCTCATTTGTGTGTGGGTGGAAAATTTAGTTTTTGTATAGGAGAAGAATGGTCAGTGAAGAGGAGCAGGTGATGTTAAGAGTGAACTTGCTTTATGTCACTTTCAAATATTATTGTAGGCAATTGAGAGACTTTCACAGGCAGAAAGTCTCACTTTGTAGCCTAAAGAGATCTCACTGCACTGTCTTTTTGATGTTATAGCTCTATTTCTTATATACTGAAGATCAAATTATTGGTGAGGATTGAGCGAAATTACAGGAAGAGAGAAAGAGAGAGAGAGAGAGAGAACGTGAAGTGAGAGGGGAAACACACATTCTATCGCTGTAGAACACTTCTTTGTCTGTTATTTCTTTGAAAGAATTCTATGCATTTGTACCCAACTTCCCTTTCTTCTTCTTTCTTTTTGTTAACAGTGATATAAAATGGGCTCAAGCAAAAATTCGCGCGCTCCAGGCATATGAAGTGTGACTCAATAAATGTGGAGCAGCGAATGAATTTAACATTTGGAGACTCTCATGTAAATTTAAGTGTCTTGCAAAAGAGAAGTCCACTTCCTTCAACAAGTTTTCTGTGGTTGCTGAAGATGAAGATGAAGAAGAGTGAAACTTTTTCCCTCAACTCTGCATTTAATTGCATTTCCTGCCAAAGTGTCTATTGACGAAGTGAAAAATTCCTCTCCACCTCCAACTCTCCAATCCTGCAATAAGAGTGTGTATAATGATTTCCACGAGGTGAGAGCGAGAGAGGGTAGAGCTTCTATTTGTGGGTGGTGTGTGTGCAAAATGAATGTGCATTTAACTGCCAAAGTCATTAAACTGCCAAATTCACTCCGAGCACCATTTAAAGAGAAAAATATTACAGAGAACAATGTGAACAATGTTTGAGGGATAAACAAATCCTTTGTCAAACACTCAAAGAGACAGAGAAATGAAATCAAGAGAGAATCTGTAAATTTCCATATGTGAAAATCTTGTACGAAATGATCTGGTTTCACACTAAAAAAAAAACATAAAATACAAGCAACATTTAGAGAGAAAGATGTGTAAAATCTATAAGAGATATTCCACTATATACATATATTTTAGTAGTTGGATGAAAATGACTGTGTAATGAACAAATTTATTCGTTACATCACGAATTTGTAGACACTTTTGACACTGTTTTCTTTTTCTTTAAAAAAAAAATCGAGAGAGAGACAAAAGAGCAAAGAACAACCATAAAATTAATTGCCAATGAATCATTGAAGGAATCCCATAAGTTATCATTTTAGGAACTCAATTCTTAAGAGATTTATTACAAATTAAACGTGAGAAACATCAATTTCTTATCACATTTCTTACACACGATTAATAGACAAAGAGTGAGCGAAAACTTCGAAAAAAAAATAAATTTATTTTACTCTCTGGGAAATGTATAATAAAAATGATAATTTTTTTTTCTTTAGATAAAACAAAGTGAATTTCAGAGTTTAGCTATAATTTTTTGATACGTTGACTTTTTAAGATGTTTGTTAGGCCTTTTTTTTTATTTTAAGACGAACGACGAGAATTCAATAGGAAATGTACAAGTCTGAGTGAATGTCTCATTCCCCTCCTTAAAACTCTCCTTTAATTTTAATTGTGCAAGCTTATTTTGTACGGATTTATCGTGTAATTAATGATTATTCGAGTATAAGGAGAAATATTTACATATTTTAAAGTAATACTATAATCGAACAAATTGATTTTTACAATTATACTGAGATGAGAAGAAGGAAAATAAATAGATATCGTATTGTAAGACAGCGCAAGATTAAATGTGACAATGTTACTCTTGAATGAAATTCTTTACAATTCTCTCCAATTATGACTTTTTGCATATTATATATATATATATTAAATAGTGAGGCGAAATTTTTGACGTGTGAGACGTTGTATTTCTCAAGTTTTCCCTTCCATTTGAGAAGTTATGTGGACACCAGAAAGAGTAGAAAAAGAGAGAGAGAGATTAAGGGAAATATAAATAGACGTTGTAAAAAGAGGAGATTGCAAGTGAATGCTAATAAAGTAGAAATTAGGTGGATAAGTTTTCCTTTTAAAAGAAATATTAACCATTTAAATGATTAGTGAAGAACGGGTTGTAAATAAGAATGTGAAACAGAGAGTTTTTTGATGGAATTTGCAGTGATTTTAGAAATTGATTGCGGAGGAGAAGAAGAAAAAAGAATGGTTCTAGAGACAAATAATAGGCAAGTGAAATTGCGTTGATTTTCGCGTGAGAAAATGAAAAGAAAGAGACAGAAAGAAAAAATATTTTACGATATTGATGAAAGAGAAATACAAAGGAGAAAAAAATATATATGTAGGCATTCTTAGGCATATTCTAAAAAGAGAAAAGTCTGTAAATAAGATTTATTTTAGAATCTTTCTGCGACAGAGATGAATAAAGAGGAGGAAACACATTAAAATTCTCAAACTCTATATTATTACGATGATGGAAAGCGTGTGCGTGTATGTGTGTGTATAAAAAGTTGGGAAAGAAGCTGAGATGAAAATGACCAATAATTGTTTCATGATTGTATGTAAAGTGTAAATTGTATAAAGAGAAGGACGCTGGGCCGCGCATCGTGGGTTGATGATGATGGGAAAGTTGTTCGTCAAACATTTTTGTTTATTCCCAATGAAGGAAAACATTTTGGCCAGTTGGTGAAAGACGTGTAAAGTGACCCAGGAAAGCGAATCACTTGAAAACTTTCTGCCGAGAATGTTAATATAGAAGATTGTGGAACAAACAGAACGATTTTCATGCAGACTTCCCAATTCTCGATGGTCCATGAAAAGACGTTGAGAAGCGAGGAACGGCAATTGATCAAAAGATGTTTTTTCTGCCGATATTTTTGATTATACAAAAAAAAGAGAGAAAAACGGAAGGAAGAAAAGTTAGAATTAGCAAGAAGGGAAATTCATTAGGTAATAAATTAAATGTGTTAATTGTGATTGCGAAGGAAGATGACTATTGAGAGATGTGAATGGGATCCAGAATGTCGCTGAAATCTGTAAAAAAAACAAGTGATTGAGAAATAAACAATTTTTAATGAAATCCTCTCAGTTGCGTATTAGTTGCGTGCAATTACAGCTGCGTATCGTGGAAAAACCTCCCCAGAGTTCAGCAGAGAAGCTGAATTGCCGCCATACCGCCGCCGAAGGAGTCTTTTATGAGCCTTTTTCGCACCTTTCGCCACCAATTTTACTAGCAAATCATGTTTATGACTCTCTCAGTGCCATTCGAAGCGACCAATTGGCTGTGAATTGCCCAGAGCGCGCCCTTTAATTGAATTCCCTTCGCCTCCCGGCCGAAATGATAATTTAATCGTCCGGCAAATGATTCTCAAGTGAAGTTTTGCCTATTCGACCTGTGTGCACTTGGCGGAAGAAGAACAGGTGTAAACAAGTGGAATCATTGCGCATGGAACAGATGCAGACGAGGAAAATTGCAAATGATTCAATGACGGGAAAATTGGCGAGAAAATTTTCACCAATTCCACTGGCAATCATGAGAATTTTCTATGCTCACATATTGAATTGCACGATTTAATTTTCCCCCACCTCATAGCGTTCAATAATGGCGAAGGGTTGACAAGTGGCCGTTTTTCCCACCGCTTTTCCCATTTCTCATCATCACTGGGCCACCGAACTTTCTGGCCCTGAGAATTATACACAATCCAATTGGCAGCGAGTGCAAAACTATGTGAATTTTCCACTTTTTGATTGCATTATCGGATTTATATTCATTTGCAAGTGAGGAAGAGAGGAAATTGTCGGGGAATTTTTTTGCCCACTCATTCATTATTAATTAACTCCATTTATTTTATGCCTCCCACAGCCAAAACAGAATGATAGGCGCGCGCAAATCTGTCATGTGGACAAAATGGGCCAAAAGATGAGGAGAATTTATAACGAAACGCCATCGAAGCTGGGAAAGGTTAAAGAGCAGTCATCGACGAATATCTTCCAGGCGGCCAAAAAAATGACTCTGTCAATTGGCGGTCGGAGAGTCATCGAGAAGGTTTATTGGATGGGATAAACTTTCGAAATTTCATCGATATTTTTCTTCAGACATCATTTCAAGCTTGTTTATTTATTGGAAGGAATTTCGCATATTTCTTATCTCGTTTTTTTTCCCTTTCAAAATGCGGCCCTTTCAAAATTTGTGAGTTTTGAAACACGTGGAACATAAGTAATAAATTATCAAACATAGAATAATATTCTCACAATTACACCAGAGTGATAAATAAAATATATTTGATCTCTTAATTAAAAATCCCCAATTCGGACTGTTAGTAATTAAGAAATGTAAATAACTATGACTGGAAAAACATTTTCCGCTGATTTGCCATATGGGAAATGCGCAAAATTGTATACTTTCGTCTGTTGTTTCTCTCGAGGAGTAATTTTACCAGTTGCCAGAAATTGCAAATAGTACACAAAATTGGGCTTTTATTGCGAGTTTTCAATTTATTTAAATTAATTGCGGAACATATAAAATAATAGTTGATGAGTAAATAGTATAAGGATAAAATCAACCCTCATTGCTTAATTAAAGACTTTTGCGCTTTTAATTTCACACGCATTCACAGCATATTTACCAATATTTTCCCTTTAAAGTTTTGTTCAATTTCAACCATATTTACCAAAAATATGAAATTATTTCTAAACGTTCTGAAGGGTTGTATATTAAAATATAATTTAAGCCCTAATTGCAATGCATTTCACACATGAATGCCACAATTTCAGGTTCGATAAATTTAACATAAAATTTCTATGTTTCACATATCGAATATGGAAATGAATATTCATGATAATATACGTACAATGATATTGTTTGCAGCAATTTCCTTAACATTGTGAGTGATGGCAAATTTCGAACAGATCTATTCTTACTGCGATAGCAACTGATAAGGCCAAATCCAGTAAACTGAAACATCAGTTTATTGTGCGATCAGGTCCATTGTTTGTGTGTGTATTGAACATAGGTTTGATGGGGCAAAAGAAGGATTATGTGTGCGAAATATGTTTCCACAGAGCGATATATTAATGTGACGAGTTCATTTTGCGTGTCATTATAAATTCAAATAGTGTAGGATGAAATGTTGGAGGTGTAAATTAGGCAATGTTTCCCCATAAACTAATTAGATGACAAAGATTTGCCAATTAAGACACAGTGGGTGATTTATGTGGCTCGCCGTGCGCAGCATCATCTCTGCATTGAAATGTTTACAGGTTTCTTCGCCCAGGATACTTGACGAGCTAATTAATTCCTCCCTCAGTCATTTATCATCGCCAGTCATTGAGAATTTCCATCCATTGTGACCATTTAATTCAATCGTCACACAATTGATGAATACGCCTGGCAATTGAGTTGCAAAAGTAAAGGGCGAGAGAAAGGGATGAAATGTTTGGGGAATTCGCAGAGTGGAGAAAGTTTGCCGCCCAGAAAATAACAGAGCAAGAACATATTGGGATAATTTGGGGGTATAGAGAAGATTCCGCCAGGGTTTCGAGTATCACCTGATGAAATTGTGGGTCACTCGAGGACTCTGGTCACAATTTGTATCAATTTCACTCGCCATGACACACTTTCACCAGCACACGATCCCTCCATCTCGCCGTATTTCCACTGAGAGCAATAGTGGCGAGGCAGAAGGAAAGGGACTCAAGGGCGGATATTTGACGTCGTGGGCAAATATCAGCCAAAAATTCTACGGGACAAGGTGACTAGGCGGCGTCAAATTCCACGGCGGCAGTACAACTAATTGAGGTAGGTGTGAATTAATTAAATTAATGTAATTAAATTAATCCTGTATTAAATGTGCTCATCCCGTGATGACATAACATCGTGGAAATTTGCCAAAGAAAGCACACAAAGAACCCGCATTTAGGCTGGAGTCTGGCGTCAAAAAGTCACAGCTATGCAGATATTTTCTGGCATTAGAAGCCGGAATTAAAAGGGTTTCGTAGCCCTTTCCTTAACCCTTCACGCCATTCAGTCTGGTTGACATCGTTCACGTTTGCACTTAACGCGAAGAAGTGTATGAAATCGCCATGTGCAAATACTTCGCGAATCTCACGATTTCATATTAGATTCAATTATTATTATTAAATGTCGTGAACAACCTTGTTAACTTTTGGCTTTAACTCTCTTCAGTGCTTCTTTTTCAATGTGTTTTGAAAGAAATCTTTCAATTGAAATTAGTTTTCTTATGCATTTTGCACTAAAAAGCTGTGCTGTTTTTTCACAAATTTTCATAAGTTATTAGTCTTCTGGAAGAGGCAGAAGATAGCCAACAACGCTTTAAAACACATCATATCTGTAAGATCACATCTTCATCGATTTACGACAGGGCTTTTGATAGAAACCATAAAGATATCGACATGTTTACATATTCTTTTCAAGTAAATTGTGAAATTAATTTTCTTACCATGAAAGTAAATGCAAAACACGAAACTAAAGCTAATTATTTCTCTGGAAACATTAGTTAACAAGTAAGAAATACTGCAGAAGAAACACTTTAAACCATCCATTTTCAACATTAAAGTTCTTTATATTCTTAATTCCAGTCAGACTAAAGGCTTCGTGAGCTTTTTCAGGGCCTCATTGTGGGCTTATCATGAGCGTGAAACGATCTTTTGTGTGCGGTATGCTTCCGGAAAAGAAATCTCTTCCTCCCCTCATGATAGGCCATCATTATTGAATTTTCCATTTGCCACGCAACAGAGTCAAATCTCCTGGGAGAAAACCACCTCGTCGGCTTCACATAAAATTGTAAAAATTGTCGAACAAACACCCAGAACACACACTAAAGAAGGTGGTGGCTTCGCCCAGAGAATGAGGCAACAAATAGAGGAGAAATTGTTATACTTTTATGCTTCTCTCCAGCTCCCGGTGGGGCTTGAGAATTCAGGCTGAAATTACATCGGGATGAGTCTCGTGTGGATAGCATTGACAAGCTTTCGGCCGGCCCGGAAGACGGAGCGACAGTGGTCATATCCTGTGAAAAATCCTGCTCACTGTGGAGATTTTATCTCCCCGGAGATGCTTGCCAAGGTGTCAAAGAGTCCGTGAGTGGCACAATTGGGCGGCGAGGCCGGAAAACCTGACCCTTGAGGAGGATTCAACCCCTTCCGCCAGGCTCACGAGACAGCCGCATGTGTGGCGCTTGAGCAGGCCAAAGTCCTCTCCTGAGACCTAATTTGGCGTACAAGAGACAATGTTGCCGCGAGGCCACAGAAACTCGCCGAAAGTTATTGACTTTGCGGCATCTGAAGCACTTGATATGTAAATTGATATTGACTACACTCTTCCATCGACATGGGACTGTGTGGAATCCAATATAAAGTGATCAGCTTTGATGTGGGAATGCATTTGGAGGACTTTCATTCATAACATATGGATAACTGAACCACTCCA